TGAGCCGGTACCGTTGCAGCATTCAACTTGTTAAATACATGCACAGTCCACCACCCTCCGGTTGCTTTTCGCACACACGGAGAGCTATGTGGGGAAGTTGATTCCCTCACATGGACCGCAGCTAAACGACCGGCAAATAGCTTGTCGATCGCAAGTACTTGTTCACGAGGCAGTGGCCACTGCTTCATGATACAGTACTTCGAGCCTGGTTTAAGCTCGACCTCGTGTCGAATACCTTTATCCTTCAGTAGCTCGAATGGAACAGTTTCAGGGAATACATCCTTGAATTCAACCAAATCTTCATAGAGAGGCTTTTTCTTGAGCGATTCCCATGATTGGGAGTCATATCGCTCAATTCGTGTCTTTTCATCTAGGACACTCTCGTCCATAGATGAACTACTGAGAACTCTCTCGTTCTCAGTGAACACTGTTGCTGACCTTATGTCGGTTACACACTCGTCGTCAGCGACGAGTGTGCAGATCTGCTTGACTTTGCCACTACGCAGATCACGCAAGAACCTTTTATGTTCGAGCGTTGGCAACTGAGTGATCTCCGAAGTCAACTTCGGAGGCGCAATCAGATCAAGTGTATAAGCGCCTACACTTGATCCGTTATTGACTATGACATTCAATGTCTCTGTCATTTCCTGGGGACTTATTCCCTCAGGCTTCGAAGGACTTATTTCTTCGTCTTCCCGGGGACTTATTCCCGCGGGTTTCGGGGAACTTATTTCCGCCGTATTTGTAATCTTGGGACTTATTCCCTTTACTTCCTCTAGCTGGGGTTGCGCAACCACAGCGAGATCCTCTACGATAGACTCTCCAGTCGATCTAGGATTATCGTTTCGCTTAACCTGAGCGATCGATTGTTTCTCTTCTAGATGTTCCCCGCTAGGGATACATCTTTGTCCCAGTCCACCCGACTTATTCGAGTGGTGGACCTTCGGCGCAGCCTGTGTTTCCTCACAGCCGCCGGAACTTTGCTCCGAAGTGTAACCGTTTGGTACACTAAGGTTTTGTGCAGTCGTACTAACGACCGTACCACAAGTGAGGCCATCGCACTCACTCGTAGTACATCCACACGCTTGTGGACGCTCCAAAACGTTCATCAGATGGCCATCTGATGAACAAGCGGCAGGCATCGTTACTGTTCGATGTTGCCAGTTTACTTGTGGCTCGTACCTTCTGAGCCACGGTATTCCAAGGATGACATCAAATTTATCATCCAAATCAAATACGATAAAGTCATCGTCATATTGGGTATCTTCTAGCGTATAGTAGATCTTCACTATACGCTTCATGACGGTTACGGATGCGACTGTCGCAAGACGTACCGTCATCCTCGTAGGAGGTGTGTCACATTCACTGAATTTAAAGTGACCATCTTCTAGCGATTGGCGTCGCACAAAATTGTTGGACGCCCCACAATCGACCAGAGCTCGAAGGGACAACTTATTCGTCACTTCGAGTTTCAAGGTAATGAGTGAGATCTCATTACCTAGAGCAGCAACGCACAACGTTTGTGTGTTGGGAGCAACCTTCATCAAGAGGCCCACAAATTCTCTTGACGTTGCTGGACCAGTAGGGTGCTTCGCACCTACTGATCCTGTCCGTTTTTTGACGGTCCATCCCGTTGTTGCGTCTTTGCACCAACAGCGGACCCTCGTCCCTGCCCCTTTCTCATGGGTGGACGGTCATTACGCCCAGTGTTGCGAGACACTGGACGAGGGGCACTACACTCGTAAGCGTAGTGTCCTGTCTTTTGACATCTGTTGCATCTCTGCAACTTCTTGTAGCCTGTAGAGCGAGCCTTCTCGCTCTCTACATAACAGAGTTCCATCGGCTCTGGACCTCCGTTGTCATATCGTCTCGGTTGACGATATGATGTCGAGCTGGCGCGAGCCTGTCTCAGACTGAAGTCTTCCTGCTCCGCAATGGAAATGGCTTGTTCTAGTGAATCTAGTTCAAGCCGGAACAGGTGAGTCTTGACGGGACCATCCGCAAGACCCTGCATGAACACCGAAACCAACGTGTGTTCATCCACCGGATTGGAACTTATACAACTCGTGAGATGTCGTATATGTTGAGCGTAAGCGTGCACATCACGTATACCCTGCTTGAGCTTCAAGAGTTCGGTTCGAGCCCTGAACTCAGCTCTAGGCGGTTCAAACGTTTGTCTGAGCCGCGACTTGAAGACTTCCAACGACCCAAACGCATATGGGTCGTGCAACTTGAGCCCCAGTGCCCAAGTCTTGGCACGTCCTGCCAGATTTGACTGGGCAAATGCAACTTGCATATCCCCGTCGTCGATGCGACGCGCCCTTATGGCGTCATCTAATTCGACGAACCATCTCAAGAGGAAGTCTTCTTCGACCCCCCTATACTTTGAGATGTCAATCTTCAAAGTCTCGGGTCGACGCGAGTGCATCGACCCGCCAGCAGCAGCCTGCTGCTGTCTCAACAGTTCAAACTGTTGAGCACCCTGTTCTCTCAACAACTCTGCTTGTTGAGAACCTTGTTGGTGAAGCAAGGCTACTTTCTCGCGTTCTGCGTCAAGTTCATTTTGAATGAACTTGGCGATAGTAGCATGTTGGGCATCTCTATTGAGAGCCTCTAGCATGACGCTAACAGCATGGATGCCCATGGTCGAACCCATTCGTTCAACCGCATCCCATTCGACATCGCTCAAATGGGAGTAGCCGTCACGCGTAGCGTGAAAGCTTTGGTCATCTTCATCATCCAACATATTCATGTTGGATGTGAACGCGGTCCTTGGACGGACTACGAAGTGCTACCAGGTGTAACGGGGCACCCTGAAGCTTGTACTGGTGACAGTACAAGCTACTTATTCTGATGACAGAATAAGGCGGTGCCTCGTAACTTCACGTACACTGGTACGTGCAGAGGAAGACGGTAAGAAGAAGCGAGTACTTGGTTAGAGTAAAAAGTAGAACTGTATTTATAATAGTTAATGTCTGCAATAAATCACTATTTATCTTCATCTAACTATGTCTAAATACAAATGTGTAAATCAGTTATCTGCTCACCACTCATTGCGTGCGTCTGTCGTGGCGCGTCTTCGTTGTTTAATATAATGGCCTATATCAACCAATTAGGAACTACTTGTAAGTGCTACAGAATATTTGTCCTTATGACAATATTCTGAGAATATAATTCTTATAGTTACATTCTATTAACAATTTCTTATAAATTGTTATGTAACGATTCACCCCGTTACACTAGGTGTACCTATCACACCGTACTGAGTGCGACGCAGCCTGTACAATCCTGTGGATGTGTCGGTAACAACAGGGTGTGCCCAACACATTCCAATTATTGTGGTGCATCCTGTACTCTGCTCATTTGTCGATATGAACTACACAAGCAGCTCTACGCTAGTCCACCAATTGCGACCTCATCGAACGTGCTCGTCATTCCGCACCCAATACCCACACGTGGTCGGCTAAATCGTGACCAAAGGCAAACAGAAGGTCTGCGGCAAACAATAAAAATGATTTAGCTTTCACCCGAAGTGTGAAGTATGTATGTAAATAGAAGGAGATTGCGGTCACATTTTTTTCCTGGTAGTAGTGGAATTTCTCTCCTTAGATCAATGTTTATTATAAGCGCTTTATTAGTCCTGGCTGCAATTTGTGGTTGACGGCGTTACCGAGCAAAATAATTCACCGTCCCTCTTTTCTCGTATTTTTTTTAAAATTAAGCAATACAAACAAGTTATCTGACATGCGATAATGTTCTGCACTTTTATTCGTGTGATGCACGACGCGAAGCGCATTTCCTTGTCGGTAACCATTTGAAATGGAACGTGCGATAAATTGAGCTTGATTCGGATCCTTGCACTTATTTACTTGTTTGCAAAAGGGCAAAATCTGGAGCTTGTCTCTACCTTTATTAGTTGCTCACGTACTCAATAGTATTTGAATGTTCAAGTCACGCAAAATGCATCCGTGAAACTAATTGCAGTGATCTATGTATCGGAGCTACTTAAACGCCTGGAAATCGTTCTGAATCTTGTCACCAGCTCGAGGCGGTCTTCCACAGGTTGTTTCTACAAGATCTACTGGTCGAGAAAGAGAAAAAGAGAGAGCTCAGCGCTGTTTATGTCTTTTACAATGTGCTGTTCAGCCCATCGCCGTCACAACACTATCGCACTTATTTAATAATCCTACAAACGTTATTTTCTGTTGATGACAAACCTGATGGACGAGAGTTGCGCATCGCATCGTACACATAGACGACCAGTTCACATACCTACAAACAATTTGTCGCCTGAACACGTTATAAGTTACGTGCATGTTGTACAGTTCATAACCTTACCTATCGTCAGTAAAGGTGACGTCAAAGCCGCAAGTGGTGTCACGCTTTTTACCAACCTCTTTCTGCGCAAGAAAAGCAAGCGACTCCAGATCACAGCGATTGACTTCTAGCATGCACTTCCACCACCACAGCACAACAGTATGATCAGATGCGGTCCACCATTTACGGCAATAACTTATCGACAGCTCCGAATTGGCTTTCAGTGGTACCCTTTGACTCAATCCGCCTTTTTCGAAACGTGTTGTCGACTTGAAGAAGTTGTTGGCCAGTCTACAATGGAGTGCGAGCTACTGCGCTGATCATGGACGTAGCTCGAAGACGAGACGCATTGAAGAGAGATAGGAGCTGCAAGCACTGACGGGTGTGTGTGCCGTCACGAGCGACAAGAATAAGACAATTGACCAACAGACTGCAACAAGGTGACCCCGTCCACACACGTCAACGATCAGGTAGCTTTCCAGCTTAACAGCAGTGGGACTCAGAGTAGCTTCTCTGTCGACATTTGCCGCAGGATTGGATCTCTTTCTCAAGTCCGAAAGGACGGCCACTTGTACCGATACGATTACTAGCGGCGATCCGAATTACATGCTGAGCTACTTCCCATTGGCAGAGCAGTTTACCACGCAAGGCGAGCCATCATTTTGTGACCAGCGACTTTGGCCATGCAATTGAACGCTCTGCAGATCGAGCCTGGTCGAATGTGGAAAGGGCCATGGAGTTGGTTCAGTGAAGATCTCTTTGACTGCTGCGTGTCACATCTTGTCGCTAAGGAGAAAGACAATTGCATGCTGGGCTTTGTATCGAGTGCAACTGCGAGCTCAGAGATTGTCGTGCTGGACTACAGTCGTCAAATTTTTGCTAAAATGCGGCGGACAGTTTTCGCCCATCGGCGGGTTTTACGTTAGGCTAGTCATGGTGCTGCTTACGGATGTGACTTATGTTCAAATACACCCCACACTCAATGAAGCTGTCGCGAATGTTTGTGCTATCCAATGTGTGGATCAGCCCTAAAATTATGCTCGTGGACTAATGGTAATGACAAATAGGATTCGCTCTGCGGGCCCAAGACTTAAAGTGTCTCTACTACGACGAGCAGACGACGGGGGAGCAACATGTTTCCAACTCGCAGTCGTGTAGTGACAGCTTGGTAGCAAAAGTGGAGGTTCGCCGTATGGCGGACGTCACATCGATGACGTACCTCCGGTCGTGTTAGCATGCGTTCAGGACTTCCGGTCATCCAAAAAGTACGATGATGCCATCTTTGCGACTTCTTTGTGCAGCACATGCACTTCTTGCCACCTCTATTGATTGTTGACTACCTGAATAATAACAGCTACATCACGAACGCCTTGCTAACGTACACCGAGTCAAGGACCTACGGTTGCTGAGACTGAAGTTTCTGCGGTATCGCTTGGCTCTGAGCAGACGTCTATTATGCAAACATGGAGTCAATGAGACACATGACATAATCCCACTTCACTACCACTGTATCACAAGGTATCCGAAATCGTTCACCGCTTTTTCACTGATGTTACGGTCCACTGCCCACTACTTGTAACAAAAACACTCACTACATCGACACACAGTCACAGCCTAACACATATTGCACGCATCCATCATCATGACAATGCCTAGCAAAAACTCAGCATCAGACTCGGTAGTTGCAGTTCATGCGTTGGCTCTCCGTCTTCATCAACAGTGACGCGATCGATGGCAGCGCAGTCGAGCCATGGCCACACCGGGGCTGTAGAGCGTGGTACGCGTTACTTGGCGTTCGCGAGTGCACTGGAGTTGGCAGCCGAAACACCGGACTGCAGTTGTCCAGCATTAGAGTCTGAGCCACACGAGGAATGTTGGCTGACGTGGGGGTGACCAGCTGACCCATTGGAGAGCACGGCTCAGACAGCACGAGCTCAAAGGCAGCCTTGCTGCTCGGACTAACTGGGCCCTTGAGGATAGTCAGCAACTTCATTCGCTGCTTCCGTAGGTGCTCGGCGTACGAACGACGCTGCGCCTCGGACTCGCAGCACCGCAAAGCCTTTTCGATGGACCAGATGCTCTTGTGGAGACCACGGATTTGACGGTGGGGCCACCGCGGCACGCCGTTCTTACGGCAGATCTTCTTCATGAGCGTCATGCAGATGCCAAAAATATTGGCCACCTCTGCTAACGGCTTTTCAAAGTATGGACGCAACATGTCCAGCGTGATGGACTTGGAAGCGTTCGATAGTGCCCGCACGCGCTTCTTCAGCGGCGACTGGACAGGCTGCTGGTAAGCTGTCGCAGCTGGAGTGGACGTCTCAATCATGTTTTGCAAACTCATAGAAGTGCGTAAAGGCAAGGCTTTCAATGAAGGCAGCGCCATGCGCTCATGCGCCGGCGTCATAGCCAACGTCGAGGAGCAAGCAGTCCGCGGCATACCTCCGAAACCTCGACAGTGAAACTGCGAAGGCTCCATTTGAAGCCACTTGGAACTCGACAGGCATGGCGAGCGGATAGCGGGAAGCGCAGACATCGCAGTCGTGCTGCTCGTGTGGAGACTCCTGTTTGCTAGACGACCAAATGAATAGTGAGGCAAGTACGTCGACAAGTGCGCGTTAACTGTAACGTGAACAAACAGAGCGGTTTCGGACCAGAAAGCACATGTGAGTGGCTCTATCCCTGTGCAAAGCGCAGACAGGATATTGACGACAGCAGGCGGCAAGGACAGGAAAGGCAAGGACAGTATTTCCAATCCCATAGCTTTTCCTGACCCCTTCGTATGTATGGTGCGCTCAACCGACCATTGCCAGATGGTTTGGGTCGGTGGTCGGTGCCAGCTGGCAACGGCGACTGAAGCCTGCGCCTGCGCGAATGGAGTTTTGAATGAAGGAGTCGCGATCGCTTGCGCTCTGCGTTTCTTGATGATGTCGGGCCATGAAGGGAGCTCCCTAAAGGTTTTAGTACAGCAACACACAAGATAACTACTTGACGATAGCACTGTCATCACCACATCGTGATTGAAAGAAGGTAAACAAAAGCACAGCCGGACGGTTGGTTGGTGCCGCAAGCTGGTGAGCACGTCTTATGCTCTGCTCTACTGCGGGTCCCTCTTACGAACGGACAATGTACAGTTGGTAGGGCATACATGTTCGGGTAGACGGGTGAGTGAATAAGTGCAACAGTTTGAACGCGTCGTGACGCTACGTTGTGCCACCAGCAGTCATTAGCTCCCAGGACAAGCAAACGCAAAGCAGAAGGGAGATACCAACTGTCGTAACAACTCAACTGTTGACGACACGACGAAGTTGATAATCATCGGTTTATTTGCAGCAGCATATGCTGGCACGATTGCCGAGGGCCCAATGTACGCACGAACACACGGTCGCTAAAGAGTTTGCGAAGCAACGCTCAACCGCGTATTATCTACCAACAGCCAAGCACAGCTGACCATAGCTCGTGGAGCAGCCACAGCTGACGATGGCCATGTCGTTATAGTAATTGATTTGTGGCTGGCGCGACTGGAAACATGCGAAGTCGCAGAGGACGATCGTGCCCCTTGGCTGTGGCAGAAGACAGCCATCTGGTCCGTGAAAGGACACTGGCTCCACAAGGAGGACCAGACATCAGGCAGTCTCTAGGTCAGTCCGATTGTTCGAAACCTGGGTGCAAGGGGTGAGCAGGCAGATGAATAGGTAGCATGCGTGCCTGAAGACTCGACTGTCCGGAATCCGTCAAAGTCCGGCAGCTGTGCAGAAATTTTGGCTTGGTTTTCTACTTGTGCCATGCCTCTGTAGAACAGCTGGTCAACGAGCAGTATTTTTTTCGGTCCGCATCTACAATGACCGTCATCCTTGGGCTGAGTGGTCTAAGCTAGAAGGTTTACACGAAGGGCAGAGCTCAACGCTGGAATGTAGTACGGGCGTTCCATCTTCCGGTGGTCAGTACGTAAGGTCAGACTAAACTCTGGGTAGCGGGCCCGCAAGAAATCCTGTCGAAATTAGGAGGGTAAGAAACTACAACATTGATGGATGCAGTGTGTGCAAAAGCTCGAACGCTTTGAAGTAGAGAAGTAGGTCAGATATCGATGGAGAATATCCGAGATAACTATCCATAGACGCAGGTGCAACTTGTACGTTGTTAGCACTTTCGCTGAAAAATGTGTGGGACATTAGCTCTGATGTCAGGCCAAATGTCGATGGAGTATTGATGATTTCGAATGAGCAACGTCATGCGATTCGCTCTGACACAACCCATGGTTCGGAGAGGTCTTCAATTACACAAAAGATTGGCCTCGGTGCAGCTTGTTCGGCGATCGAAAAGAAAAGTCCGTCCGCGTTTGGTGTCGTCGTAGTTTAATTCACTTCTGCGAGCTTATTGAGTGAAATCTAGAGATTGTGTAAGTTAACTTGGCACCCGCGGTCACGCGCACATTCGATCGAGCAAATTGGTGCTGTTCATCTGCTTGTGGCATGCTAGCGTATTCCGATCTCACGCTCATACATCACGTCGATTGAGTTGATGGAAGCACATGTTGTCATCGTCTTTATGTCTAGGTCCTTTGTGGTTCCAGTGCATTTTGGGCTAGTCGAACAGACGGGAAGATTGCTCATGCATCTGGATGACAACTTCGAGGTGACGGCGACATACAGGTATCTAGATTACGACATCGTTATAGTCGTCGAATTGAGCAAGAAAAAGAGACCTAAGGTTGATGTATCTCCTTCCCAACAAGTGACTAGTAAGCCCACAGTCGTTTGGTTGTAGCAACTAGCAAAATGTGGCGGTAGATACCACGCATATGTATTAGCTGCTGCCGGTAATGGAGAATGTGGCATGTACACTTGCATCAACTCAGCAAGTCGAGAAACCAACTGTAAGTATCAAGACACTTTCGACAACATCATGAGAGCTCGAGTTTTCTGTGTCCGTCGCTAGCAGTGACCTTAAAGAACTGAACTCCTTCCATTCGGTCAAACTGTGATGAATGCGATAAGTCGGATTTGTAAAAGAGTGGAAATGTCGCTCTTGGTCAAACTCGTTTGCAAGTACTTGTTCGTCATTACAATCACAATTTGTACGCTTATAACAATCAACGATCATGCGGTACATTGCTAAACGGCTCCCATTGAAATTTAGATTAGATGATGTCTCCATGATGCGGTTACTTGTTGGACTTAACTTAACGATCTTTTCGTTGTCAGCATAATTTTTTTAACATAGCACAACAGAATCGATGCACAAGCAAGCAAACATAAAGCACTATTCGGGTGATGCTCTTATGGAGCAAACTTTGTTAAGGATGCCATGTTGTTACATGACCCCATTCTCCGTATAAATTCACGTACACCTTACTGTTATTTGCCACGTACATCCACAGTGTGAGTTGGTATCGACTGCAGATGCATGTTTGACGTTATAGATACCGTAGTGCCTTCCGGTGCCTTCTTCACGGTAGAAATGTGTTCACAGTTACCACAGTCTCTGACTTAAAATGACTAGAGTAGTATGTCTTGGTTTGGTCTGTCGACAATTGAAAGCCTAGAGCTTTCACCCGCCGATGTTATTCGCAAACGATGTGTCGTCAGCGTATAAACAAGCTTGCAAAGCCAGTGTACTTACGAAAGAACATAGTCCACATGCTCGCGAAAATGATGCTGCAATACCAGCAAGAAGATGACAATTTCTCCGGGCCCTTCGCGTACCTTGTTGCACAATTATTTAGATAGATGCATGGTTACGGCAGTCTTCGGCCTAAAAATGGGTGGGCAACACTATCCATCATAAACACCAAATTTTGGATAGGTATCGCTGGAAAACTCGAACTTGTACTGTTGTGCGTATACTCAAGATTCTCAAGTGCGATGTCGTGACATCCATAAAATTTGTACGAGGCTTTTCAGTACGATAGTTTTTACACATTAGACATGCTGGTATGGGCATTGCTCGACGTGTAATTGATATCTCGCACGAGATTAGGTAAAGGCTCATTTGCAGGGTTGAAGAATGGGACTGCCTCAGGCCGGTCTGTCACCACTTTGGACTAAGCCGCACAATGATTTGTCGTTAAGAAATATAATCTGTCGGAACTCAGTTATGACATGATGTAATTCCACGGGGCCCCCCATGGTCCCTTGGGTTAGCCCTTTTTAATCACGTAATTGCCGGTTCGATGCCCCGTACCACTACCCCGAGGTCGTTAAAATTATGTGATACAGTGCGCGCCACCTACAACCTGTAATATTTCGATCTCCGTCACTCAGCTACTCGTCACCCCATGCTTCTTATAACACAAATCTAAGATCATAGATGGCTAGAGTACGCTACTTGCTTCACCCCTAAAGTTCATATTTACATTCGACAATTTTTTCGCGAAGTCATACGACCCTAAACTCGGAAGTTGTGTCAATCTTGACTAACGGCGAGGCACATTTGGCCACCCTAAAAATTCCTGCATAGACTTTTTTCGTTTTATACTGATACTTTTTTGAAAAACTAATTTGCAGCAGCTATGACGTTTACATCCATCAAAATTAAAGTTGGGACCTAATGGTGCGACCGATACTTCTTTACGGTGTATTCGGCGGCCTCCCAGTCAGGTCCTTCCGATATACGTCCATGTACCGAAAGCATTTTCGAGCATGGCGACGAATAGTAGTTAGAGAGACGGATGCCAGAGATTTTGGGGCCATCTAATCGAGGCCTTTAAACGTGTAGTATCAATTTTTCCGAGCATGCCGTTTTCATTATCCCCAGAACATTTCGATGAAGTTCAGCTCGCAATGGAACTCAGGGCAAAATATCATGTGATGGCCGGCTGCAATGATAGTCGCTTCCAAAAGCCCTTACTGCCTCTTGAAATCAGGTTAATTATGGATAACACTGCGGGCGCAGCAACTGCCGGTGAAAGCGAACTTGTCGCGACAATCCAAACGAAGATTCTGCGTCCACAGATTCCGTTCTTGTGGAAAAGACTTGATTCCCTTTAATTGGCCATCGAGAGGGTGGTCGGCACGAAATACCGTAGATTGGGCTGTTCGATCAGAAAGAAACCCATCCTTCATTGCTGATTGCTTTCCTATAGGTCCAAGATTCATGCGTGAGGCGACCAGAGCATCGGCTACGAAGGGCGCATGGATAGTCGCATATTTAAAGGCAGAAAGAACCTTGGAACCAGGAAACAGCGCATTAAAGATTGGAATGGCGACGTTCCGAACCTGCTTGTGGAGGTGCTCAGCAAGTTCATCAACCATCAGATTTTTTTTAAAATGCATTATTATGCGAGCCTGCTTTGCAACGTTGAGGTGCGCAGCTTGCTTGTCTGCGCTCAAATCGAGGCGGCCATCTACAACGCAAGTTGAGATGTCAGTGTAAAGATTCATGTACAAGTTTGAGGTCAATACTTCATAGCACACCTACGCCAGTTAGAAAGTTGCTTACATATATGGACCTTCCTGCACCTTTTTTGTAAAGAGGTTGTTCTCTTTCAGGAAGCCACAACTTTTTCTTGTCATTGTGCGTAGCAAACATGCTTTC